GGGCCTTCTGCTGTGATCTTTGGGTAGGAAGCAGCAGGTTCTGGAACCTTCTGTGGTGGGCTGGAGAAAGGATAGACCATGGAGGTGGGCAAGCAGGCAGGAGATTGCGGGGACAGGCCAAGAAGGGTTGAGGCTGGTGTGGGGGCAGGGCTCTGGGGATGGTGGGGAATCTGATAGAACTGACAGGACTGACCAGCACCAGTGGCTCACGCCTGTGATCCTCGCTACTCAGGAGGCTGAGATCTGAAGATCATGGTTCAAAGCCAGCCTGGGTAGGGAATTCCGTGAGACTCTTAAGTCCAATTAACCACCTAAACTTTGGAAGGGGAGCTGTGGCTCACGTGGTACAGAACCAGCCTTAAACACAAAAGTTTAAGGACAGTGCCTAGGCCAAGTTCAAGCCATAAGGCTGGCACAGAAACGGGGGGAAATGCTGTCAGAATGGATGAAGATCGAATGTGGGCTCCAAGGAACAGGTAGAGCTTGGATTCCTGCCGGGCCCCTGAGCAGGGCTGTGCTGTCTCTGGGGTGGAGACGGAGAAAGACTTGTTGGGGCACACCGAGTAGCGATGCTTGTGGCTGTGGCTCTGCAGAGAGGCCCCAGGCGTGAAGGGGAAAGCTGGAGGTGAGCGGGAGAGAGAGGAGAGACCGAGCCGCGGTGGCCAGCCAGCCCACGCCACGCAGGCCCACCCTGGGAGGCCTGGCTCCCCAAGGGAACCCGGGTACTCACAGCACTTCGGGGGAGTGGGTGGCATCTGGTGGCGTCTACCTCAGAGACATAGGGCTTCTGTGGTCATGTGAGTAGTGCCTGTGGCTTGCGGTGGGGGTGGGGTAGCGAGGGGACATGGGGACCAGTCCAGAAACCAGACAGCATCTGTGGCTCATCCCCTCCCGTGTGACAGGCCTCTGCTACTCTGGCCTGAGTTCTAGCTGCTTCCTGTCAAGTGATGGATGGATAATGTCTGCTAACCCCAGGACCAGACAAGGGGCACCAGCGGGGCCGGGAAAGCCAGAGCCAGAATTCATTCGCTCATTCATTTCTTCATTCACAGGCAGTATGGATGGGCCTGGCTAACCTCTTGGGTTGCTGTGTGACCTTGGACCTGGCACTTACCCTGTCTGAACTTTCATCTCTTCCTTTGTACATGGTTCTCACCAGCCTCTTCCTGAAGCACTTGGTGTGTACCTGGCACATGTATAGTCTAGGCTTTGCTGAATCTAATTCCCAGCCAGTCCACATGGAGGGCCTTCCTGCCTGGCCCTGGCCCTGTGCCCGGACCTGCAGGTCCATGACTTGCTTTCTCTACTTGCTCAGGCTGCCAATTGGCAGCAGGTCGAGTACCCTCTCCACTGTGTGGCATTACTTTTGGCAGGTGGCCAGCTTCTTCATCTCCAGCTCCTCAGGAGATGTCCATTCACCCATCGGTGTCCACTGGGGCTGCAGCCGGTCCGGCCCCACCCCCTTCAGTGGCCAGACACTGTGCGCCGCGGTGGCCATCTTCTTGTGGTTTATTGGAGATAGGAGTCTCACAGTCTCTCCTGCCCGGGCTGGCTTTGAACCGCGATCCTCAGATCTCAGCCTCCTGAGTAGCTAGGATTACAGGCGTGAGCCACCAGCGCCCAGCTTCGGCCATCTTCTTAATGGGCATCAGGGCTTTAGCTCTAGGTGGTGTATTGGGCTGTGCCAGCCAATGGCTCCCACTACCAGGAGCCTACTGGACACGTAGAAATCGCGCTGGTTCTGATGCTGGTGTTGGCCTGAGCAGCCCTGGGGCTGGGGCGCTTTCCTCAGAGAAGCGGGGTGAGGTGCCGCATGCTTCTCTGGGGGCCACCCCCGCCACCGCGTCGTGCAAGGCCTCGCCGCCACCGGGGCGGCCGCCGCCTCTACGGACAGAGGGAGAACGTGCCTGTGCTCAAAGTCTGCAGGTGCCGGAGGAGCCGAGAATGAGTGTGCCCACAGAGGCACACAGGCACACGCCGGTGTACACACACACGGGCACTAACAGCTACACACGCAGGCATACACACATGTAAGTACACACAGTGTACGCACACATGCACACACACAGGTGCAGCCGGAGTCAGGGCCAGACCCCCTCCTGGTGTTTTGGCTCACTTTCAGACCCCATATGGTTGACATTTGGCAAGAGAAAAAGGAGAAGCCTCCATTGAGATGAAGTGTCTGCAAACCGGAGGAAGCTGTGGCCCAGGACAGGGAAAAGCCCCTTGGAACCTCAGAGGCCAACACAACATGGCAGCCAGACCCTGGGATTTAAAGCCTGCCTTGATAAGAGCCTTGTACAAGATAGGCAGAGGGTGCAGTCCAGGGGCCGGCCCCCAGGACTCATGTAGGGATGACCTTGGGTATGGAGCGGCCGTGTGAGCCAGGACAGGTCCCTGTCCCGCTTCGCCTCCATTCCTGTGACTGCCACAGAAGGCCACCTCCCCTCCATTGCTCAGTAAGGTCAGCCATGCCGGCTCCCGCGTACCAGGCTGCCCTGGGCAGCTCGCGTCTGCTCAACTGCGTACTCTGGTCAGTGGTCCTCGAGGAGGATCTCACCTCTAGCCCCGTTTCCCAGCCTAGAGCCCCAGCGGTCCAGCCACTCCCAGTCCAGCCCTTGGTCCAGCAGAGCCACTGAGAGCCCCGTGGGGGTGGGGGTGGGGCACACCACAGCGCCTGGGCTCATGCAGGAGAAAGGCTCTCTTTGAGGTGACATTTGGGGCGGCCTGTGGCTCTGGGTCGCATTCCACAGATGTTTCGCCCCTGACTCTGGCTTGGCAGCCATGGCCTCATTGTTCTGCAGCTTGGCAGGAGCCACAGATCCCAGGGACAAGTAGCTCCCCGTGTTACCCCCAGGGCCTGCATGCAAGCTTTCCTTTGTGTTCCTCCCCCCCCAACCCCGCACATCTGCCCCTCCAACTACCCTTGGCCTTCCTAATTCTGAGTCCCGTGACGTGCATAGTCCACTAGAAATTTCTGGTATAAGGAACTTCGGTTTCCACTGGGAAACCAAACAACAACAAAAAATACCCCCCAAATCCAAACTCCTGAAGAGCCCCCAGGAGACAGCAAAGACCTGTCCTGGCATATAGACAAATGGTATTGCACCTCCTCTTCCTGGGCCTTAGTTTCTCTACCTGTGAAATGTGTCTCTGAGGATAAGCCTCCTGCCCAGTGGGATTGGAGCTGGGCAGGGCAGGGTGACAGCAAGGGAGTCCAGGGGTGGTTGCTGGCACCGTTTCTCTGTGGGCAGCCAGGACAGATGGGCAGGTGAGCCTCTGGGCCGACTCAGGAGCATTTGTAGATAAAGATAGAATCTTCAGAAGACAGGTCTCCATCCTCTCCCGGGAGGTCTCCCTAAGGGCAGAGGATGTGAACATGTCACCCTGAGGGGTCTGGGGTGCAGCCCACAGCAGCTGCCGAGCCCCCCCGCAGGAGCCTCCGGTTTCATGTTCAAATTCATGCGCATTTTACATTCTCACCCTCTCCTGCCGCCTTGCTGTTGCTTGCTCCCCACACCCGCCTCCCCCACCGTGTCAGGGCCTGCAGAAGGGGCTGTGTGTGTGTGTGTGTGTGTGTGTGTATTTATCCTGAGGCTCTTCATACCCCACCTCCTCCACCGCAGTACCCTAGGGGTGCACACTCCAGCACAGTGCTCAGCCAGATGGTGGAAGCCGCCCAAGGCGCCTGGCCCCATCTGTACTCCAGGACCAGGGTGGGGGGAGCGCTGGGCCCTGGGACACCCAGCCAGGAGGCAAGAGGTGCGCAGAGGCCGGGGCTGTGGGGAGGGGAGAGCAGGCCGCCTGGCACCATGCCCCCCACCAGACAGATCTAGACCACTCCGTGGTCTACCCAAATGTCTACAACAGGGGGAACCAAATGGCGTGTCTGTGTCCAAGGTGGGCAGTGTCACAGGCAGGAGACTGCGTGGGCAGTGCTTAGCAAGAGTGGGGCTCACACTTCTGGGGTGCTCCGCCAGCGGGGCCCGCACCCCCGGCTCGTGCATCCTACCATCCCCAGCTGTTCCCCTGTGGCCTGTGACTTTGTGGCCCAGAGTAGCTTTCCACCAACACAACCACAAAGAAGGGAGAGGGCTGCCCAGGGGCACTGCAGAGGCCGGGTGCCCTGAGGATACAGCTGGAGAGCCCCAAGATTGAGCCCAATGGGATTCCAGGGTTGGTGGGCCTCACTTCTCACACCAGGAAATAGCATAGACGTGGCTGGCATCTGGGAGGTGCCCTCCGCCCCGCAAAGTAGAGCTGGAAATAGACTCGCAAAGGGAGCCGAGTGATGTCCAGCCTGGTCTCCAGTGAGCCTGGCTGTGCCGTGCAGCAGTGCTGATCCGTGCAGAACCCCTGGATCAAGGCCAGTGCGGGGCCACTGGATCAGGACACAGAGTAGACCCGAATGTTGCTGAGTCCTGTGTGTGGTAGGGGTACCACGAGAGCCTCACTAGAGCCAAGCTGGCGCAGGCTCTGTGCCCTTGAGCCTCTGGAAGTCAGAACTCTGGGCTCCCAGGAGCCCAGTCCTGGAGCATCCAAAGGCCCCACACCTGCCTGGAGGTGCACACAGTACCCTGGGCATGGCCTGGCCTTCTGCTGACACTATGTCTGGGACTGGAACGTTGGGGACCTTCCTACAGCCTCTGCCAGAGTCTGACTTAGTTCTTGTCCCTGACCAGCCAGGCTGATGGCTTGAGTTCAGGTGGGGTGACAATGGGGACAGTAGGCCAGCAGACTGTAGGAAGAGCAAGGCTGTGGAGTCCAGCACACAAGGGGCGAGCCTGCTACCTTCCTTGCTGGCCAGGGTCAGCCAATCAATTTGCCTTTGGGAATCTCCTTCCCAGTGGACCGATTCTTGCAATAGGCTGACCCCCGGTGAGGGCAGGGAGCTGCCTGAGCGCAGGTCCCGCTGAGCTGGGCGGCTCTGTCCCCGCCACTCCCACACCTGAGTGACAGGAGGAGGCTGTGAACAGGCCCTGTTTTCTGTTGCAGCCCGTGCCCTGGGGAGGCTGGCATGCAGCATGGCAGGACAGCCCAGTCACCTGCCCCAAGGAGGGAGCCCCAGCAACCTCTGCCACACACCGGCGCCTGCGCACCCTTCAGACTCACAGGTAAGGCCTTTTCCTTGTCCACAGGGCATTGAGAGTCTGCCTGGAGCTTGGCCGTGGTCACTCCTAGAGCCCTGGCTCCAGGCCAGCTCCCCTTTTCAGACAGACAAGACCTGGAGTAGGGATATTATTGCCTCATCCCAGGCTGACATAGAGGAGCCTTGATGCCAGCCGAGTTAATGAACTCAAGATCCATGTGCTGTGCCCCATCCAGGACAGGGTGTGTGTGAGTCTGTCCTTAGCTTCGTGGGAAAGATAAGGAGCCCCTGGAGCCCCAGCAAGGCCCCTGACACGACCTAGGGAGCCAGAGAGGCGCCTTTAGGAAATGGCAGAGGAGGACAAGTAGGCCCAGGCAGCTTGGCCGGGGGGCCACCTCCTTTAGGGTCTTGTGAGCAGTCTCAAATGATGAAAAGCTCTTGCTAAAAGTTGGCTTTGGCGCTAGGCGCCAGTGGCTCACACCTGTAGTTCCAGCTATTCCAGGCTGAGATTTGAGGAGTGCAATTCAAAGCCAGCCTAGGCAGGGAAGTCCATAAGATTCTTGTTGCTAATTAAAATATCAAAGAGATGGAAGTGATAGAAGGCTAGCCTTGAGCAAAGAAAAGCTCTGCCCATGCCCTGGCGGAGTTCAAGCTCCAGGACTGGCGCATGCGTACTCTTGCACACACACAATTAGTTTTTTGTCCCAAGATTGTGAGACGTAAGTGGAGATGCAGCGATACCCACGTTCCAGCCATGGCAGGTTTATCACAGCTTCTGACTTCCTAGATCCTGTTGTAGGATTTCCAGGTCAGCGTGTTTCGGTTACACAAGTTTCACATAGCACAGAGGTACTAGCCGAAGAGGCAGGAATGTCTGAAAACCTTCTGTGTTTTCACTCAATGGCTGTGCTCCTTGGGCTGGGGAAGAGCATTGCTGTGGATTCACCCAGAGGTGACAGGATCTAGCAGGGACGGACATCTGTCTACGCATGCGCACGCACGCGCAGGGCCTGTGGACCTGTGTGCTATTTGGATTCTCCAACTCGGATACTGGCTGGGACACAGGCGCCCATCACCAGGTAGAATTTAGGGAAACCCAAGAGCACCACTGGCCCAGGTCTTACCCAGACATGGTGCTGACGGCGAGGACAGGGTGGCCTGCCTGGGTAATGCAGCCATTTGTCATATTAAGTCATTCACTAACAATTGAATCCCCCCTTGATTAATCTCCCAGAATTAGCCAGTTGCATTTCGAGCAATTAGGGTTAATTACAGCCTCATTTGGCAGAAGAGAGAGGCCCATAATTATTTCTCGCACAAGGCGAGGGGGCGGCGGGCCGCGGGGGCGGCAGTGTCCTCAGCATCCCGTGGCACATGTTGGAGTAGTAATGACACAGTTAAGTTAATTAGGCCCGATTACTCAGCACCAGGCTGCTGCGGGCAGCGGCTGTCAGGCGCGGACACCCCCGTCCCACCAGCACCTGGCCAGGTTTGCAGAATCAGAGCACACAGGCCCCGCTGCGTCTCGGAGACAGGGGCAGGAATGGAGGCTGGGCAGGCTTCTCCTTCCTGACAGATGAGTGAATTAAAGCCTGTCTGAAGAGACCTGGCAGCCAGACCCTGCCTAGGGATGTGCCTGGCATTTCCTCTGGTGCCCTTGTGGGGCTGAAGGCACCCTTACAGGCCAGATCCCTTCCCACTGCCACCCCCTGCCAGCCAGCTGAAGTTGGGGACATGACCACTCTGCGCCTTGGCTTTCTCACCTGGAAAATGGGATGGATAATGGTACCTCCCTCATGAGATGGCTGTGAAAACAGAATGAGACTGTTGGGGCCAAACGTTGTGGGCATTTACTTGGGTGGTACTGGGGTTTGAATCAGGGCCTTAACGCCTTGAGCTGCACTCCCCAGCCCTTTTAGGTTGAATTTTTATATGTGTGTGCAGGTCCTGGGGCTTGAACTCAGGGCCTGGGTATTTTCCCTGAGCTTTTCACTCAAAGGTAGCACTCTGCTACTTGAGCCACACCTCCACTTCCAGCTTTTTGGTGGTTAATTGAAGATAAGAGTCTCATGGATTTACCTGCCTGGCCTGGCCTTGAACTGTGATCCTCAGATCTCAGCCTCTTGAGTAGCAAGGATTACAGTTCTGAGCCACTAGTACCCAGCAGCTTTATAGGGTCCTAGGATTCTTCTAAGCTGGGCTTACAGGAAAGTGCCAACATGCCTGGCTTGTTTTGTTGAGATGGAGTTTTCCTTTTTGTTCCAGGTTTTCTTACACAGTGATAGTTCCGATCTCTACCTCTGGTATAGCTTGGATTATAGATGTGAACCATCACACTTGGCTCCATTTTTTTTTTTAAATTTTAAATATCATTGCAGTTTTCACAGTTAAAACCCGCTACCCAAGGTAGAAAGTACAGAAATGACCAACAGTGCAGCTGTGGGGTTTGCTCACCTTCTAGGCCCGCACCATGCTCCCTGCCAGTGGCTCTCTTACTCAGAGCCGTTGGGCCACGTGGAGGTACATTAGTCGGTGTGTGGAATGCATGTGTACTTAGGAGAGCTGGGCATGCTTGCTTTCAATGAGTTTTAACCTCATGAATGTGTGGAGTTGAGACAGAGGCTTAAAATGCCCCAAGCTTTATGATTTTCCAAATTTGCATCAGTATCGTCTTAGGGATGTAGTACAAGGCCCGGCCCACACACTGAATGGCTCTCCCAGAAGGGGCCAGAGAAGCTCCAGCTAACACGCCTCTGTCCTGAGATGTGCAAAGCATGGTTCTCTTGGAAAAAAACATGCATGTGCAAGGGGCCGGGGGCCACAGCCCAGACCAAAATCTGTATGCACCCTTCCCAAAAAAATTATGGGTCTTGGTAAGGTTGCATGACCAGATACTAACTTTGCTTAAACTCAAGAGTATTGGGAGTTCCCAGCACTACTAGGGCACCCTCTGTGCCAACAGGCAAAGAGTTGGGGAGCAGAGGACTTCAGGATGGAGCCCAGAGAAAGGGATGGCTACTCTGTCCAATGGATGACCAGCAGTTTGATGCAGAACCAAGAGCTAAGAAGGTTCCAGGAAAAAACAAAGAACGCAGTTCAGGCCCCAGACCTGAAGGCAAAGGGGACAGTTTGTCCAACAAAGTTTTTAAATACCTGCACTTAGAGAAGGTAGACGAACGGGTGGCTTTGTGGGAGCAAGTTGAAATTGAGTCCATAGTTAATAGTGAGCCTGTTGTGAGATCAGAGACCCACTGTGTGCTCCTGAAGGGGTTGAGTGGGGATTTCCTACCGTCTCTGCCCCGCCCCTCCCCCCTCTCCCGTCCCCCCAAGCATCTTCCCACCTGGAGGTCTCAAGAGGCAAGATAGGCTTTGGGATTGAAATTAGCCAGATCGGGAAGAGCTAAGCAGGGTTGGCATGGTCAGGAGTCTAACAACCAACGTGGACTTTGTGTGTGTTGTGTCCTTTTATGCGAAGCCTATTTTAAAACGTATCACCGCGTATGCATCCACCGAATCCGTTAGAAGTTTCCTATACACCGTGTCAGATGTCTTTAAAGGTGAAATTCGTTTACAGGAAATGTCATTCTGATGAAGTGTGCCTTTTAAAATCACAGAAACCGTTGCCTTAAAATTAATGATGCATTGCAAATATCAGGGAAAAGAAGACCCGTCCAGTGTAAAGATGATTAAAATTCAGGTCAGAAGTCTGACTTAGTCAGGCTAAATTTTTTAATGAGATTTCAGAAAATTAATTGGGCGAATGCATTTTTTTTATTCTTTTAACATGTAATTTTATGCTCCTGTTTAGCGAGAAAAAAAAATAAAAAGGATTTGTCGATGGCCAGAACTTATGTAGTTCAAACATTTTAAACTCAAATTAGTGAAGGCCAGTGGGGTGGGGGGGGTGGGGGCGGGGCAGGGGGATGGGAGGAAAGGGCGGGGGAGGACCTATGGCCTAATTTGCTCTGACTTGGAGAAAGGAGTCTGGTTTTCTCCGAGCTTTCTGGGTGGGGATGATCTACAGTGGTCAGATTCCCCCACCTCCCAGGCTCTCCCCTTGGTGTCCAGCCTGGGTCTGAGAAACTGGCACATTTCTAGAGCAAGTGGAGACAGAAAACTCAGAGACCCAAGCTACCGCTTGAGTCTCAACCACCAGGTCCCTTGAGCCAGTCTCCTCCAAGCCCTGGGGCTGCCTCCCCTATCTTGGAGTCCAAGCTACGGGACTGGGGCCTTGGGGGCCAAGCTGCCCCTCCCCAGGGTTGTGGGGTTCTTGCTGGGAGTAGCCCCAGCACAGCCCCAGGGTAGCTACAGAAGCTGCCAGGTCCCTAGCTAACATGCTGGGAGGGAGAGCGTGAAGGCTACAAGCCCCCCAAAGTCACTGCCAGTCCCTAGTCAGCAGACTGTGGAGTGACGGGTTCCGTGGTGGGGATGATAAGCATCTTCACAAGCCCCTTGAGCTTGTCCCCTTGTCCCCAAGCCCTGGGAAGGAAGAGCCATCATCATCTTCCTCTCTAACATACAGACAAGAATGCCAAACCAGACACCAGTGGCTCATGTTCGTAATCCTAGTTATTCAGGAGGCTGAGATCTGAGGATCGTGGTTCAAAGCCAGCCCAGGCAGGAAAGTCCGTGAGACTCTTATCTCCAATACACCACTCAGAAAGCTGGAAGTGGTGCTGTGGCTCAAGTGGTAGAGCGCTCGCCTTGAGCTGAAGAGCTGAGGGGCTGTGCCCAGGCCCAGAGTTCAAGCCCCACAACCGACCAAAAAAAAAAAGAATGCCGGCAAGGGTAACTCCAGCAGTAATCCCAGCCGGCGTGTTTCCTGTGCTCCAGGCCCCCTCTGGGCACTGGAGTGTCTTGGCTTATTTGACCTCCATCAGCTACTGAAAGGAGAGGCCATGGCTGCCTCAGTCTTACAGATGAGGAAGAACAGGACCAAAGGCCCAGCCTGGAAGTAGCTGAAGCAAGATTTGAACCCACACTACCAGGCCAGCATCAGGTCTCACCTGACAGAGCCTCGTATATGTCCCTTTGCTAGCCTGTGCTATCAGGTGGTCATTAGTTCACAATGAGTCCTGGGACCCCCTGGGTGAGCTAGATTGGAACCAGCCCCAACCTTGCAGTTTTGCCGGCAACACTGATGCACGGTTGTCCGGACCTCACCTGTGTCATCTCCCGGGCTCTTCAAGATGTCTGGGGCAGCTAGCACTGTCTCTGGGTCACTCGGCTGCAGGGACAAGAGTGGAACTTGCTATAGAACAGAAGGCAGCCTTGGAGGTGGCCCCAGAGAGGTCTGTCGTTGAGGGCAAGGACACAGCTCACATTGTCTGTCCTGGGAGTTAAACCAGGGTCAAGACTTTGCTGACTCAGAAGCCCCGTGTCCCAAGATGCCCAGAGCAGGAGAGCAGAGGCCACCCCAGGGACAGGACCCCAGCCCAATGCTTTGTGGGTAATAGTGGACCCAGCACCTGCTGCACTGTGCCCCCAGTACCCAGTGATGCTTGTGCTGTGCCGCGGAGCTAGTTCCTCTAATTAGGGTGAATAGGTTGTAACAGGAAATGCAAATGTGGGTCATGCATATGCAGATGTGCAGCTGGAGACTCAGCCAGGCTACAGTGACCACACACCCACCCCCATCCACCTATATCCATGACCCCATTAAGAAGGGAACCCCGTTAGGGACCCATTAAGCAGGGAGTTTAGGTCCCAACCCCATTGACGGGTTTTGTGACTGTGCCTCAGTTTTCTATCTTAAAAACTGGGATCCCACCATTTCCTCCCATTCTCTTCCCTTTTCCTCTAAGTAACCATGACAGTCAGGCCACAGTTAACTGCTCCCCACCCCCACGCCCCGATGCCCAGGCTCCTCCAGGAGCAGCCTGTGTGCTCCCTGAAAACGCTCTGGATGCTCTGAGCTTGTTCAATGCATGTGCTCAGTAGGACCTCCTAGCACACAGTAGGACCCCATGATCCCCGCACTGTCACAGCCAGGCGGGCACGGCACCACACACGTCCTCACAAGGAGCCTGGATGGCCCCTCAGCACTCACAACGAGGGCACAGGGCATGGCCAGGGCTGCCATGCAAGAGGTACCACATTGTACCAGATGCCAGACCAGCCACTTAGGGCCTTTGGTCTCCTGACAGCCTCCCCCAGCATAGGGCAGAGTGTCCCTGGCATGATGGCACACTCAGATTCACAGGAAGAAGCAGAGGCTGGGCAGGGGCTGCTCCGTGACCTGGCAAGGCTGCCCTCTGGGCCTCAGTTCCCTCTGTAGGTGGCAGGGTTTGAGACCTTATCTGTGGTGGGCTGTAGCTGATGACACACACACACACACACACACATGCACGCACGCACACACGCACACACACTGCTTTGCCAGCCCTTAAATGGACAGGCAGCCCATGGGCCACGTGTCCACAAGCCAGCTTCTCTGAGACATTTCATCAGTGATAACAGAGGACACCCAGGGGCCAATGGGGGAAAAGAGCCACCTGCGGGCCTCACCGTGGCAGACTTGCATGGGGAGCAAATGGGTCCAGACATAAGAGGCCAGGGGAAGCTCTGGGTATTGAGGCTGGCTGCCTTAGAGGAGGCTCTCAGGGTGCTGGGGTCCTCAGGTCCCAGCTGCCTGGCCCCTCTACCCCGACTGGGCTTGTGACCAAGGCCTCTTCCCTTTACAGAGACACCCCAGCACCCTGGCTTTCCGTTGCTCGCTGGCCGACTTCCAGATTGAGAAGAAGATAGGGCGAGGACAGTTCAGCGAGGTGTACAAGGCCACCTGCCTGCTGGACAGGAGGACAGTGGCCCTGAAGAAGGTGCAGGTGAGTCACAGGGAGCTCGTGGCTTCACGAGAGCCAGCTTCGTCCTGAACAGGTAGCATGGCCACAGTCTCCCTTCCCCTTCTTGTGGGAACAGAGATGTCAGGACCCAACTCCCAGGCTTGGAGAGGAGCTGAGAAAGCTCAGCGTGAACCATAAAGGAAAACGGGCATGCATTGAGCACCTGCTGTATACAGGGTCCCAGGTCAACACAGACCTGGGTCCGCAATTAAGAGGACCTGCTGAGTGAGCATTGAAGGGGCTGGGAGCACATGAGCTCATGGCGCTGGTGCCCACCCACATCCTACACAGTCCACGTGATGGCGCTGTGGAGTCAGGCTGTGGAAACCGAGGCTCTGTGCTGGGTATGGAGCGTGGCCTTCGCAAGTGGCAGATTCTCGGATGTGCACTGGGCTCAGCAACTCCTGCCTGACAGTGCGAAGCTGTTAACGCATTGTCTGGTTTGTGGAGGGTGCTGCCCGGAAGTGGGGACCCCTGCTCTGCCATGGACCACTGGTTTGACCATTCTGCTCCTCTTTGCCTCCTGCCCTAGATCTTTGAGATGATGGACGCCAAGGCCAGGCAGGACTGCGTCAAGGAGATCGGCCTCCTCAAGGTGAGTCCAGAGCCGGCAGGGCGCGTGCCAGGCTGCCTGGATGGAGTGGTGCTGAGGACGGTCATGCCAGGGCCGTCCTGCGCGGCATGCATGGGGACGGCAGGGGTGTCCGCCTCGCCCCTTTCCTCCCACATGGTCATGGTGGAGACAGGCTGATGGGCAGGTGGACTTTCCCGGGGCTGCCTGTCCCCACTCCATCCCCTTTCCAGATCTCTGTCCACCTCTCGAGGCTGCCCAGGCCATGCCAGGAGCACGAGGACTCCCTACCCAACAAAGGGACGTGCGGGTCTCACAGACCCTTCTGAATACGTGGGGTCGCTTGTGCTGAGCCCCCAGCCCTGAGCTTCCATGTGCAGGCTGTGGGTGGGACCGGGGGGGACCCCTTTCTGACCTTCCTGGGCCCACCTCAGGGTGGGCTCTGTGTGGACAGGGTTCTAGGCCCCAGCCCTAGCTCACTGTGCACTTCCGGCCAGGCCTGTCCCCTCTCTGGACCTTGGACGTTGAGGCCCCTGTTTATTTAAGCCTCTGTAGACTGACGCTGACAGGTATTGAGGGAGCTCGGCCTCCAACCTCCCCTCCGTCCCAGAGGCCAGCACGTGCCTGAACAAAGCTTTCATCCTTACCCTCCTCCCCTCCCCCCAAAAAAGATCCTGTAATTTTTTTCTAGAGAAAACAAATTCCTGGTTGGGCTTTGGGGAGCCCCCTGAGAGAGGGTGAGGTTTCCTAGGAAGTAATGAGGCCACCGAGGCAGAGGAGGAAGAAGCTGCTGCGGGTCTTGCTTGACACTGGGGCTGGGGAGCCACGCTGCACACAGAAAGCTGTTCCTCTCCCATCCAGCACTCCTGCCCTCTTCCCAAAAGGAAGCTGAGTCTGTGTTAGCCCCTGGCCGGCCTTCTCAAAGCAGTACCCGTGCAATCCACTGGACCAAGAACATTTTTTTAAAAATCTTTAAGTCGTTGCACAGAGGAGTTGCCATCAAGCAGTCTGTAAATATAATATTGTCTTGATCAGTGTCATTCCTTTCTTCATTCTCCCCCATCCCTCCCCTCCCCACTCCTTCCCTCACTCCTCTTTTGTAGGATGTAGATTTTCTCCCTCTCTGCCTTTCACTCATCCACCCTTTTCCCCTCAACTCTACCCCACCCCTTTCAAGTACCCACTTCCTGATGTTTATTTGATTGAACTTTGACTTATACTGTCTGATGTCTCCCTTGAAACTACCATACTTCAGTTAATACATTTGTATACACTTGCATACATACATACATACCACCTAATGTATTTACTTATAAGTTGATAAGCTAAATCTAACTTCCACCTGTGAGAGAAAACATGCATCCTTTGAGACAAAGGACTTTTAAGCCAGAGTTCCAGGAAAAGTGGATATCCCAGTGGAAACCAGTGAGCCTTGGCCCCTGCCTCACACCTTACACCAAGACTAGTGTGAAATGGATGATAGACTAACTGTAAAAGCTAGCGCTAAACCTGGAGGAAATCTTCATAACCTGAAAATAAGTAGAAGGGGTTCAGTCTTAGGATCCAAAAAACATTAATCATAAAAGAAAAGCATCAGAGCCAGGCACTGGTGGCTCACATCTATAATCCTAGCTACTCAGAGGCTGAGATCTGAGGATTGTGATTCAAAGCCAGCCTGGGCAAGAAAGTCTGTGAGACTCTTATCTCCAATTAACCACCAGAAACCCGGAAGTAGCACTGTGGCTCAAAGTGGTAGAGCACTAGCCTTGAGCTGAAAAGCTCAGGGACCAGAGTTCAAGCCCACAACTGACAAAGAAAAGAAAAGCATCAGTTACACATGTTTATCACAGCCACCATACAAAAGGGATGGAAAACATGCTAGTGGTACATCACCTACGGCTTCACAATACACACATTCTCACAAATCACTATAGCCTAGTGAGAAGTGTGGCTTGGTCCAGAGCAGGGGCCCGAGGACAGGGCAGTGGGTGTGAACTGGCTTCAGGGCCTCTCGGGCACCTGGTGGAGGGTAGTCTTGATACCTGTGCAGACCCCTCGTGCCAGGATCCAGTGAGACAGAGGTTGCACGATTCTGCTCCACAGACTTCTAGGCCTTTTATAAAACATGCTATGTGCCTGTTAGCCAGCCTCGCTGTCAGCCATGGATGGCCTACCATGCTGTGGGCGGGTATTGAGTCTCTTCTGTTTATTTGTGGGTTTGAGACAGGTCTTAAACTCTTCTCTTAGTCTCCTGAATGCTGGAATTACAAGTGTGCACCGCTGTACCCAACTGCCAACTATTTCTTTATATGCAGTGGCCAGGGTTTCTTCTCCACCCGATGGACCGATGACCATCCAGTGGGCTACTGTCCTGTCTAAGCTCCTCAATGCATCTAACATGGGCCATGGTGCCAAGGCTGGGGGGGGGGGAGGAAGGGGGCAGGTCCTAGCCCTGAGTGACCAGTTGAGAGAGAACAGGAAGGAAGGGCTCCTGAGCATCCTCTGCCGGCTGAGCACAGGGACAGGGCGCTGGGGCCTAATCCTGCCCCTGAGGGGTTTGGGGAGGGGATTGGGGGTACAAGCAGCCTTTGGGTCCTGCTTCACAGGTACCATTTCACACATTTCAAAATACTGCGTCCAGGGCTATAGAGAGCTTGCCCTAGCTAGTATGAGGCACTCGGTTCAATTCCACCCCTACCAATACCCATGTGCCCATTTTACAGATGAGAAACTGAGGCCCAAACGTGCCAAGTGGATTTCCCAACATCACCCAGGTCTTTCCCCTCCCCCCTGAAATGCAGGCCTTGTCCCCCTGGAGCACCCACCTTTCCAGCAAACACAGAGCCCCATCTTCTCGAGTAAGCAGGACAGGCACCGGGGCTGGCCATGTGTTCTGATGTGAACCCCTCCCTCTTTCTCTCCGGGCACAGCAACTGAACCACCCGAACATCATCAAGTACTTGGACTCGTTTATCGAGGACGACGAGCTGAACATTGTTCTGGAGCTGGCCGACGCAGGCGACCTCTCGCAGATGATCAAGGTCAGCACATCCAGGCCAGGCCAAGTGAGGGGGGTCTTCTCTCCTCTGGGTCTGAGCCCCTCACTGCTCTGGCTCCAGCGCTGGCCTGGGGCAGGTTTTCTCAGATGCCATCCCCAGCCATCATCTTCCCACCGTCATCTTCCCACCAGGCCAGGAGTGCGTGGGACACAAAGCAAGACCCAGGGATGCCTCGGCTGGCCAGGGGCCACTGTGGGTAGAAAGCACCCCTGGGGGCCACTCACACCACTCCTGCGCATCTAGCCGCTGCGGCCACTTGTGCCATGCAGAAGGAACAGCGCCCCCTGGAGGTCAGGTTCTGGAAACACATGTAAATCTAAGCTCAGAGGGGTTCAGAGACTTGCCTGGGATCCTGGCCTGGTTCTGTTCAATTGCCATTGTCCCCAGGTGACCCAGCTCCCCAGAGGAAGAGCCCACACCTGTCACCCCCACGGTTCACTCCTCACTCACGGCCCTCACAGCCCTGCTGGCTGGGCCTCTGTTGTGCCCCCCCCACTCCTGATCCCAGTCTGCCCACCCCTACCCAGCCATGCTTGGAAACGGGGCACACGTGGATTCTGGCTTCCCCACAGGCACTGGGGACAGAACAATTGTTCGGTACTTGCTCTTCTGAAATTTGGCCCCTAGGAATACAGCACGGCTGGGAAGTGGCATTCCTCGCGCTGTTATCACCTGCTTTTATATTTCCGTTGACATATTGATGCGTTCGCAGGGATGTTAATCTCCACGCGGATCCCTGGTGGCACAGAGCGCTATATCACGTCTAAGCCCCCTTCACAAGTGTCTCCTCTGTTTGTTCCCGCCCTGAGCGCACACACAGCCCCCTCCCACCCCGAGCCAGCCCTGTGCTGGACCTGGGGCTGCCACCAGCAAGATGCTCCCCTCAGGGAGCCGAAATCCCACCAGGAAGACAGCTTCCAAGCCGAAGCTGGGCAGCCATGACTCAGGCCTGTAATCCTAACTACTCAGCAGGCTGAGATGTGAGGATCCTGGCTCAAAGCCAGCCTGTGTAGAAAAGCCTGTGAGAATCATCTCCAATGAACAACCCAAAGGCCAGAAGTAGAGCTGTGGCTCACGTGATAGAGCGCCATCCTTGAGCGAAAAAGCTAAAGGACAGAAGCCAAGTCCTGTGTTCAAGCTCCAGTACCAGCACAAGAAGAAGAAGGAGGAGAGGAGGAAAAGGAGGAGGAGAGGGGGGATGGAAGGAGGAAGAGGAGGAGGGGGAGGAGGAGGAGGAGGAGGGAGGAATGAAGGACAGAGAAGGAGAAAGAAGGCTGAGTTCAGGGCCTGGAGGACATGACCCCCCGGGCTGGACGGAAGGCGGGTGGGTAGTACAGATCAGGAGCCCCTGTGCAAGAGGTGGAGGTTGAACCCCACTTCAGTCCAGTAGGAGCCACAGTGAGGTGGAGACCTCGGCTTAGCCAGGACCTCTGGATGCAGACTCAGGGCCTGGCCTTGGGGTCCGAGGCGCTTCTTAAGATGAATGGGATCAGCCTTGTGTTCTAGAAAACAGACAGATGTGGAGAAGAGTGTGGGGCCAGAGCAGAGGATGGAGGAGGCATGGGGACCAGAGACCTCTCTTGTGACCCTCACGAACCTTAGCCCAGTGGCCTCTCCTGCAGAGTGTGGCTGTGTGCCCGGGTCAGCCCTCCCTTCCCCGAGCCTCGTGTCCACCTCTGTCCAGCTGTGGGCACCGCAGTCCATCACCAGCATCCTCAAGCTGAAGCGGGGTGGTAACCTGCCCATCTGCACCTTCCCTTCCAGCCCCCCTGCCCTCTTCCCTGGCCCAGGCCTGGCTCCAGGTTCAAACCCGCAGGGCCGAGGCTACAGCACATGGGACCCAAGTAGCCTTGGCCTCCATCCTCGCCAGCTGGTACCTCTCCTCCAATCCTGTCCCCTGCCTGCCCCGTTCCTCTGTGAAGGGTCCTCCTCTGCAGGGCGGTGCTGAGACCCAGCCCACAGCAGACACAATCTTGCTTGTGCCTTAGTGTCCTCATGCGTAAGGCACCTGGCCCAGGGCTGGGTGCTTGGAGTTCAGTTCTGCTACCCTTGCCACTCCAGCTGTCTCTGGATTACTAAGGGAACTAGATCTTTCCAGGATCCCAACTGGGCCACAAACACAGCTGTCTGTCCTGCTAGCTCAGAGGCTGCTGGCCACGATGGCTTGTGCCCCCCAGAGTCTCCAGCCTTGGGAACCAACCAGCCAGGGTGCTCAGTGCTCATGTTGTTTACGGGGGATGGTGAAACCCAGAGCCACTGTCGCCAGCCCAGAACCCACTAGAGACTCTGCGCCTTCACACTAAATGTCAGCCGGCGCTTATAGGATGTGACATTTAGAAAATCACCGCTCCCGGCCGTGTGCGTCCCATGTAAACACCATAATGAGGACTGGGTAACATCGCAGCGTAAATAATCCCTTGGCCCAGCCCACCCCAGGCCTGGGGGGGCCCCCGGGCAGGGGTCTCTGTGGACAGCCTCGGATGGCTTCCCCCAGGGTCTGGCTGCTAGAGGGGGCCTCAGAAGAGCCCCCAGGGGCTTCGCTTTGAGGCCGGGTGCTGCCAGTTGCAGCTGCCCGCCCTTATCCACCCGGGTCCCAGCTCCACCTGGTCTTCCCTGGGCCTGGTCCTCCTCACCCTCTCTGGGCGTGGGTCCCATCACAAGTTCTGAGCATCATTGGGAGTGGGTGGGGAACTGGGACGCCGCTTCTCTGTTGGTCAGATGACCACAGGCTCCCTGTGCAAGGCCAGCTGGGTCCCCCCCACCTGCTCCCAGCCCTAGCCCAGGCCAGGCCGGGGTCCTGGTCATCCCCGGGCCATTCCAGCCACCTCTGGCTGCTTTAGAGCCAGTGAAGGTTCTGCACAGCAAGCCCAGCCCCCATCGCCGCTGCCCCTGGTATTCAGCCACTGGCGTGTGGACCCTTGTCTGGTACCCCATTAGGCGACTCCCCACATGGTGATAACCAAACTGTCTAAGACACGGTCTCGCATCCCCCTTCCAGAACCTTCTGTCACAGCTCCCTCAGGGCGCCTGAGCTATCTGCTTCTTTTCTTTTCTCTGTCTTTTCTTCTCTCGAGTATTTTAATTATGTTTCCCAGGTGAGGAGCATGTCCAGAGCCCTTCCTCCTGGGCCTAGCCCGTGGGGAGCTGTCTTTTGGGGGTGGGGTGGGGATCAGGAGGGCTCCTTTCATCTGGGCTCCCACGTGGGCAGATGCCGGTGCAACTACTGCCCCTCCTAGCCCTGTGTTTATTGGCAGGAGGACCCCAAGCCCAGCTGGGGCCCCCGGGGAGATCACAGGAGGGGTGTCCTGTGGTCACTGGGCTCACGGCCTGTCGTCTGTCTCCCCACAGTACTTTAAGAAGCAGAAGCGGCTCATCCCGGAGAGGACAGTGTGGAAGTACTTCGTCCAGCTGTGCAGCGCCGTGGAGCACATGCACTCCCGCCGGGTCATGCACCGAGGTAGGTGCCTGCCCGAGGGGCCAGGGCCTGCGTGGACACGCACGCGCACACACATGCACGCATGCACACGCATGCACGCGCGCACACATGCAGACGCACATACACGCACACGCACGCACACGCACTCACGCACACGCACACATGCACGCACACACGCAGACGCACATACACGCACGCACACGCGCGCACACACACGCACACACACACGCAGATACACATACACGCACGCACATGCACGCACACATGCACATGCACACACACGCACATATACACACGCGCACACGCACATATACACACACATGCGCATGCATACGTGGACTCCTCATGAGGCTGCACTCAACACCAATTTCATAAACTTCGGGGAGCCCTCTACTCTCCCCCATACCCATTGCCCTGTCCCCAACACCCGCCCGGGTGGCCTGGGTGGTCCACATGTGCTGCTGCCAGCCCTGCCCAGGGAAGGGACTTCTGATTGACTCTTCTTGGGATCTGGCCCGTGTCCCGGATGGAGGAAGGAACCTGCTGGCTGGCTTCCGGCCTCTGTTCATGGCCTCCACCTGTTCTGCCTCCGCCTGTGTTGTGGACACATCCCAGCCTTCCCCGGCCCTCTGCTAGGCACAGGGGACACGTCCACACAAAAGGAAACAGGGACACAAAATCCTATACAAATGAAGCAAAAGAGGCCCAAGGGGAGATGGCAAGTTTCCTGAGGTCCCACAGCCTGTGGTAGGCAGAGCCAGCACACCTCCTGGAGAAGGAAAAGTTCTCGTAGGCTTTGACCTCTATGTAGGAGTTGGCCGTGTCCTGTGAACAGATGCTGAGCTGGGCCTGCCCAGCACCTGAAAGGCCTCCCCTGCAGCCTCAGCCTCCACACACACCAGCCCGCGCCTGTCCCCCCTCCTCTGCAGACATCAAGCCTGCCAACGTATTCATCACGGCCACGGGCATCGTGAAGCTCGGAGATCTCGGTCTGGGCCGCTTCTTCAGCTCGGAGACCACAGCAGCCCACTCGCTAGGTAAGGCGTGGGGGGACCCCGCTGCCTGCTGCAGGCCTGGGCTACAGTGCCACATGGGCCTGAAGTGGTCAGTTCTTGTGGGAAAAAGCTTTTCCTCTGTGTGTGTGTGTGTCTGTGTCTGTGTGTCTGTGTGTGTGTGTACATGCATCAGGACCTTATGCTTGCTAGGCAGACACTTGACCGCTGAACCACTCCCATACCCAGAAATGTCTTTGAGCCCAGAGGTTACTCATTGTTTTAAAAGAGACCCTGAGCAAGGTCTAGAGGGTTGGGGGGCCGGGGGGGGGCCAGCCAGCCACACGCTGCTTCTAGGGGAGACTGCTGTGTCCTACGGGGGCCGGTGGGCAGTGTGTTTGGCCTTTGCTCATTCCCGCTAGGGGTCTTCTGTCCCTCTAACTCTCTGCTTTGGAGAGAATCCATCTTCCCACACGGCCCAGACATCGATGTCTCCTCGGGAGCACAGAGTTGACTGGTTTGAGACTATTTGCATAGCTGGGGATCTGGAAGTTCTTGGTGGTATTAGCGATCAAACCTAGGGCCCCTCACATGCCAGGCAAGAGCTGTGCCCCTGCCCCTGTCTGGACGCTGTCAGGGGAGAGCCAAGGCCCTGCCTCCTGGCAGAGCTGTCGGTCGGGAGGAGCAGAGGAGAAGACAGTGGCACCCCTCCTCTGTCACAGCCAGTTAGAATCGCATCATCAGGAACAGCATTTTCAGTCTCCGCCGCCAGTGTGATCTGATCCACTCAGACCGGTGCGCTTATTATATTAATGAGGAGGAATTGGAACTTGGGAAGAGGCTGCCCTCCCGAGCCAGGCGCGTCCTGGGGCCTCTGAGCACTCACCCTGCCGCATGATGGGTGGCAGGCGCCCTCCCGGGGCCTGGGCCCTGCTCCAGGACACACTTGTCCTGGCTGGCATGGGGCATCTGCAAGGCCCTGCTTGCTAGACAAGCTCCCGGAAGCCAGGGCCTCTCTCAGCACGCAACCAGGCTCCAGCAGCACAGAGCCAAAGCTCAGGACTCAAAAGACCCAGAGACCCAGGGGAGAGACACCCACAGCCAGGTTCTGCCAACAGCTGACCAAGCCTCGCAGCTCGCATTTGGTTGGACAAGCGATCCAACTAATTGCCATTGTACTGTGACTCGGGAAGGACACAGGGGCCCCTTCACACCGAGTGTGGGTATGAATTATGCATCCACCGCATCTAATGCGCACCTACTATGTGGGGATGCTGTGGGGACCGCAGCCCCGTTGCCCTGACAACCACCTCTCTCCTAAGGCTGCTGACCTGGGAGCTAGGCTTATGCAAATGTGATCTCCTCTCTCCTCCAGCTCCCTCCCCTCCCCATCCCTTCCTGCCTCTGTATCTGCTAACATGAGGCTGGCATGAAAGGGCATTAGTCAGTGCCATGGTTGGGCTGACAGGTGCGGTACCCAGCGGTGGCAGAGCGGCTGCCTCAGTGTCAGGAATAGGAGCCGTAATTAGAGCTCGGAACAGAATGAGCGTCAGACGAATTACCAGGCAGCAGATCATATTTGTCAGGAAGGATTGCATACATAAAAATTAAGTGACAGTACACGCCGGCATAATGAAAGAAAAATGAAAGATTTGCCTCTACACAGCTCACAAGCTACAAGCAAGTGTCTTGCTCCGAGCTACGGCAGCAGCTGCAAGACAAATGGCGGGGCTGGAGAGCAGGGATGTCAGCCCCGCTGCTTGGCGGTGGTGACAGGGCACTGTGGGCCAGGACAGGCCCGGAAGTAAGGCCACTCCACCCAGGACAGCCAGCACGGCCTCTGGGGGAGCAAGGTCAGTCAGAGGGGCCCTCACCGGGTAAGGCAGGCAGGGCACCTTGGCCTTCCCAGGACCCGGCATGGCCACACCTCATGGTCCTTCTGCCTCAGCCCCCTGAGCCTTTCTAGCCCAGGCTGGGGTGGGGGTTGGGGCAAAGGGACAGACCCAGGGCTGGTGGGGGCACAGGTGGAAGCCAATCCCCAATCTATGCTCGTCTTGCAGGGAGGTGCTAGATCGTGTAACTCTCAAGTGCACCCCAAGAAACCCAGAGTCACCCAGGGTCTGGGGCCACCTGCCCCTTCCCAGAGCTGCCTGGATCTGTTTTCCAAAGTCACAGAACTCACATACCAGACAAGGAGGTTTCAAAAAAATTAGGACTGGGAAGATGGTTCAGTGGTAGAGCGCTTGCCTCCCATGCATAAGGCCCTGGGTTCGATTCCTCAGCACCACATACACAGGAAAAGCCAGACATGGTGCTGTGGCTCAAGTGGTAAAGCAGTAGCCTTGAGCTGAAGAGCTGAGGGACAGCACCCCAGGACTGACCCCCCAAAAAAAATTACTTGAGGACTGGAAGCATGCTCAAGTAGAACACTAACAAAAGTGAGCAAAAAATCTATTTTGTATGGTTTATTATCTAAATAATGAATGAGAGCTCAGGGCTCTGAATTCAAACCCCAGTACTAGTTTAAAAAATACTTGAAGCAGCCATGCGCTGGTGGCTCAAGCCTGTAATCTTAACTACTCAGGAGGCAAGAAAGGCCGTGAGACTCTTATCTCCAACTTATCTCCAGTAAACCACTAGAAAACCGGAAGTACTGCCGTGGCTCAAGCGGTGGAGTGTTTGCCTTGAGCTGAAGAGTGCAGAGACTCTGAGGCCCAGAGCTCAAGCCCCATGACCCACCAAAAAGAAAAATACTTGAAGCCTGTTACCCAGGATTACACATCTGTAATCCTAGCTACTCAGGAGGCTGATAGTTCAAAACTAGCCTGTACAAGAAAAGTCTATGAGTGTGTGTGTGTGTGTGTGTGTGTGTGTGTGTGTGTGTGTGTGTGTGTGTGTGTGCTGGTCCTGGGGCTTGAACTCAGAGCCTGGGCACTGTCCCTAAACTTCCTTTGCTCAAGGCTAGCACTCTATCACTTGAACCATGGCTCCATTTCAAGCATTTTTAATAGTTTAGTGAAGATAAGAGTCTCACAAACTTTCCTGCCTGGGCTGGCTTCAAACCATGATTCTCAGATCTCAGCCCCCTTAATAACTAGGATTATAGGTATGAGCCACCAGCACCTGGAAGTCTGTGAGACTTTTATCTCCAACTAACCACAAAAAAAAAAAAAAAAAAAAAAAGCCAAAAGCAGAGCAGCCTGCAAACAAGGCAGCATCTGGGCTAGAATTCAGAGTTCAGCTCATTCATTTGTTCATTCACTCCAGGCTCTGAGAGAGGCTGCGGAGGGCCTAGGGGACTCTGTCCTGCTGATGGGGATATGGACAGACCGAGGCCCAGTTAGGGAACAGCTGGAGCAGTCACCCCTGGCACGTCCAGCCACTTGCACAGCATTGCCCCCCCCTGCCCCCGGGCACACGGCAGCCACCTGCTGCATAGATTTCCCATCCAACAGCCGCTTCCCGAAGTGCTGGGTGGGGAAGGGTGGCTCTCAGACCCCAGCGTCTCCTCCGTGTGAAATGTGACTTTCTCATATCTAATGAACATGTCTCAAACCCCACGAGCATTTCAGTACACCACCAAGTTTGTTTTGACAGGAGGAGCCGGCTCTTTAATCACAATCCCCCTTTGAGGTTTCATTCTCTGATATTCCGGGGTTTGAAAGCCTAGTTCTAGGTAAAGGACTGGAAGGCCAGGGCGTCCTAGGCTCCGCTCATGCGCACACAGCCCCGTCTCGCTGTGCGCTCGTGTGCACGCAGGCCCCAAGGGGACCCCGTGCAGTCCTCAGTGGCCCCCAAGAGGCCACTGTCCACGGAGACCCCCCCCCATTCCTGCCAGCTTCTCCCAAGTGTCCCTAGAGTCCCTGCTCCCCCGGGGCTGGGGACAGATCCGCCCGGTGGCCCCGTGTGGGCCCGGGCCTCTTTGAAGTCTGTCCTTTCATCTTAAAAACCCAGGCAAGGCTTGCGCTGCGCTGCGCTCCCCTGGCTGGCATGGTGGTTGGTGGTTGGTAGAAATCCAGGTTGTGTATGACCTAACTCTGGGACAAAGCTGCTCGCCAGGAAGAGGGGCTGGGGACCCTGGGTGAGGTTGCACACGCCCCTCCTCTGGGACAGGGCCCAGCACAGGACCAGCGGGGGAACCCTTCCCCCCTCCCCTCCCCCCCCAGGTGCACCTCAGAAAGTTCCTTTGGTTTGTGTTCTTTAGATGTTTACTGAGCATCTGAAACACCGGGGCTCAGCAGCTGCTCTGAGCAGCCCCCAGCCCGGAGCCCGGGATCCAGGGTTGTGTGTTTCCTTTTCCTTTGCTAAGCAGACACTGTCACTGGAGGCACCGCGCAGGGACTGGTGCCATAGAGTCTCATGGACCACGATCCTCCTATTTATGCTTCTGACATGGCTAGGATAACACCACACCCAGTTTTTGTTGTTGTTGAGATGGCATCGCAGAGATTTGTTGTTGTTGGGTTTTGTTTTTGTCCAGACTGGCCTAGAAGAAAACAAAAAATAAAACAAAAAACATAATCCTCCCAATCCCTACCTCCTGAATAGTTGGTATTATAAGCGTGAGCCACCATGCCCAACCAGTCAGAGCATCTTGGAAGAAAATTCCAGCTTGCCTTAGGAGTTGCCTTTTACAACTTTTCCCTGTCCCACACAGGGTGCTGGGGCTTCTGGTCTGAGTGCAGGCCTGCCGCCGGGGGCCCACAGTCCCGAGCAGCCATTCACAGCCTCCCGGTGCAGGGCCAGGGCAAATTCTTGTCTCCTTGCAAGAAGATAATACTGTGTTCACCAAATTAAACTCCATCCATGGGAGGGACTTCCTAGATTCTGGGATTCTGGGTTTTCTAATTTCTTTTTCCAGGTATGAAACTGTCCTTGTTTTAAATACCATTCTCACTAAATGGCAGTTGGGGTTTCCATGTTTTGTAAACTCCCTTCCTTGACAAATAATTGCAAGTAACTCCCCCTGTGCTTGCTCATGAAAACCTGAAGCCTGGTCCCAGGGTTCGAGTCTTCTGTGGTGCCAGACCCGCCTTTCCACAGCTCTACCCAGGTGACACTGCAGCTGTAACACAACATGGTGTCCCAGGTCCTGAGGGTCCCCAGGGAGAGGCAGCAAAGCCTCCTCCTCTCCGTTTTTCTTTTTCACTTTGAAAAATGATGTGTATACAGTAAAGCTCCCTACAGCCCTTTCCTGGTCCTTACTTGCATAGACTACTTTTTCCTGTTTTGTTTTGTTGTCCAGTCCTGGGACTTGAACTCAGGGCCTGAGTACTGTCCTTGAGCTTCTTTTTGTTCAAGGCCTGCACTCTACCACTTGAGCCAGAGCTGCACTGCCGACTTCTTGCTGGTTACTTAGAGTGTCTCATAGGTTTTCCTCTCCTGGCTAGCTTCCATCTATGACCCTCAGGTTCAGCCCGTGTTCCTCAGCATACCACTTGCTCGCTCAGGCGCCCGCCTAGCAGTGGGATGTCTGGCCACAGGGCTGTTTCCCAAGGCGCTTGTGTCCTTCCACATCCCCCGCTCAGCGCATGAGCAGTCCTGTTGCTGCGCACATGGCCTTTCTGTTCCCTCTGAGGCTTGTCCTTTTATCTTTAACCCTTCAGGTAGTGCACACAGCACCTCACTGGGCTTTGACCTTGGCTGTGCTTATTGGCCACGTGGGCTGTGGCCAGGCCTTGGCTTGCTTGAGAGCGGGTTTGTGGGGCTTTTACTTGCTGATTTACACAAGTTCTCAAATACATTCTGGGAGGCATGATGTTGCTTAGTGGTAGAACACGTGTTACTACACGTGATCCCAACACCACAAAAATATACATAAATTGAAGATACTCTGTGTGCGTTAGTCAATGTTCTATCATGGTGAGAAAATAATACCTGAGAAAACCAACTTAAAGAGGAGAAAGGTTTCTACTGGTCACTTGGCGCCATGGGTGTGGGAGACAGAGCATCTGGGGAGGAGGGTTTGGCAGAGCAGAGCTGCTCACCTCACGGTTGCCAGGAAGCAGAGAATGAGGAAGGGGCGGGACAGGGGGCAATGGACCAATCCAGGGCACACCTTCCCTCCTCCCTCCCCACCCTGGCTACTTCCTCCAAGTAGGCCCCACCCCTCCCAAAGCACCAGCAGCTAGAAACTTAAGCCTGTAGCACATGGCCCCTGGAGGCATTTCACATGTCAGGCCACAGAAGTATCCACACAGAAGTGGCTGTCTTCCAGCCTCTCAATCCTGCTGTCTTTGGTGAACAAAGAAAAGTTCCTCATTTTAATGAAATCTTCCCTTTTATGTCTAGTACTTTTTTTTTTTCTTAACCAAAGTCTAGACCAGGGCTGGTCACAGAGGGAGAAATAAAGTGCTCAGTTTCTAGGGGCTGTGGATTCAGGTTGAGCCCCATTCCTGCTACTTACTTTCTGTTTTGCTTTCTTTTGTCTTTTGAAACAAGGTCTTTCTATGTAGTCTGGGCTGACCTCACACTTGTAGTCCTCCAGCCTCAACCTCCTGAGTGCTGGGATTATAGGCATGCACCACCAAGCCTGGCTTCTGCCACTTTTTTTTGGGGGGGGGGGGTGTTGGTCATGGGGCCTGAACTCTAGGCCTGGGCACAGTCCCTCAGCATTTCAGCTCAAGGCTAGCCCTCTACCACTTGAACCACAGCGCCACTTCCGGCTTTTTCTGCTTATGTGGTGCTGAGGAATCGAACCCAGGGCCTCATGCATGCGAGGCAAGCACTCTACCACTGAGCCACCTTCCCAGCCTGGCTCCTGCCACATTTAAGTGAGTTTTTTTACCTGCGCAGCCTGGGTCTCTGCATCTGTACGAGGCAACTTCCTCCTGGGGTCATTGTGAACACAGGTGAGGTGTGAACCGCTTGGCCAGTATTGACAGTGTTTGGGTTTTTTTCTTTCTTTCACTGCCAAGAGCCTAGATCAGACTCTTCTGGACGCAGTGACCTGGAGGGACATGTTATCAATGAACTTCCCATTCTATGACCACTGCTCCCCATTTCCCAGCAGTCCCCAGGCTGATTCTCAGATCTGGGGGGGATCCTGGGAACGCACTTCTGGTTCCTAAGATTCCCACCATCCCCCACCAAGGTGTGTTTGTCCCACCAGCTGGGTGCCCCAGCCTGGCCAAGTGTCTCAGCCCACAGAGGAGCGGGCAGGCCCGGTGAAGGCGAGCTCCCCCCCCCCGCCCCCCCCCCGTCCCAGAGCCTGAGGCCTGCCCCTGCTGTTTCAGTTGGGACACCATACTACATGTCTCCGGAGAGGATCCACGAGAATGGCTACAACTTCAAGTCCGATATCTGGTCCCTGGGCTGCCTGCTTTACGAGGTGAGCTGGGGGCTGCACTTCGATGGTCTTACAAGAGCCTCTGGGACATGGGTGGGCAGGCACGGGGCGCCAGGGCTGTGCTGTCTGTCGGTGGCATCGGAACACTGCAGTTTCCCTTCACCGCTTTGCTGGCTCGGCCAGGCGGGGCGCTGACGGTGGCAGCTGGGGCTGGCTCACCCGCACACGCGTGCTGCCATGCGTTGGGCAGGAGCAGACCAGAAATGACGGGAGCACCAGCAGAGACAGTGACGTAGCAGCAAGGCTTGGCCCCAGGCCCCCAGATTCTGCCCCCCCCCCAAACCCCCGCCACGTTTCCTTGTGGAAAGTAGAAAGTAGAAAACTGGATGGCAGTTCGAGTGTGCACCCCGGCACGAAGGAAGACCTTATCTCAAAAGTTACCAGCACAAAAAATGCCAAAGCATCTGCCTAGCAAGCATAAGGCTCTGAGTTCAAACCGCAGCCTGGAGAGAAGCTTGGCTGAAGATGACAGCCATGTGGCGCAGGCGCTTGGGCTCCTCCTGTGGCCGGAAGCCTCGAGGTCGGTGGTGAGCCAGGACAGTCTGAACCAAGGTTTTTTTGGTTGCTGTTGTTCTACCAATCCTGGGGCATGAATTCGAGGCCTGGAACAATCCCTTAGCTTCTTTACTCAGGACTGGCACTCTACTACTTGAGCCACAGCTCTGCTTCTGGCTTTTTTTTCCCCCAGTTCTGGAGCTTGCACTCTGGGCTTGGGTGCTGTCCCTGAGTTTCTTTTGCTTAAGGCTAGCGCTCTACCACTTGAGCTACAGTTCCACTTCAGGCTTTTTCTGAGTAGTTTATGGGAGATAAGAGTCTCTTGGACTTTCTTGCCCAGGCTGGCTTCGAACTGTGATCCTTAGATCTCAGCCTCCTCAGTAGCTAGGATTACAGGCATGAACCCCTGGCTCCTGGCACTGACTTTTTTTGATAGTTAGGTGGAGATAAAGAGTCTCACGGACTTTCTTGCTCAGTCTGGCCTCAAACTGTGAAGCTCAGATCTCAGCCTCCTGAGTAGCAGGATTATAAGCGTGAACTACCACCACCACTACCACCACCACCACCACCCAGCCTGGCGCTCGGATCCTCCATATGGACGTCCAGCCTCGAGTGTCAGAGCCAGCTGGTCTCCCAAATCCCAATGTCCCTAGCATGGAAGCGAGGAGAGGGAACAACTCAGACCTTGTGGGCATGTGCGCACGCATGCGTGCACACGCACAACTCACACCGCCATGGCCCCGGGGGAGACACACAGTGCCCAGCAGAAGCCCAGCCTGGCTAGAAGATATGAGTTCCAATTGCAGCTCTGTCACTCACCCCCTGAAGGATGGAGGGCAAGTCAGCGCCAAGCCCCTGGGCTCCAGTTGCTCCATTATGCAGTGGGGCATGCCTGCCTGGTAAGGAGTGCGAGGCCCTGTGGGAGAGGACCCAGCCCAGATGAAGTACTCAACATAAATCCAGAGCCCCTGATCCAGCTTGAGCTGCACGGCTGCCACTTGTGGGGTGAGGCCCCTGCAGCTTGCCATGTTGCCCTTTTTGCTTTGGCCAGTGGGAAGCCCCTACGCAGGTCAGTTCCAGCTACAGGGAGGGACTTCCCTGTATCATCCCTGGACCAGATGGTTTTCCTTCCCTTTGTCCAGTCTGTGTTTTGTATTTATTTTTTTTAAGAAGCTGTTTCTTGCCCCCCAACAATCCTGAAAGTCTCTGAACATAGACCAGTCAGGCAGGGAGAGCCGTGTGCAGTCCACCCAGCGCCGGCGGGGTGGTGGGGGTGGCCACAGCTGTCTCCTCCAGCCAGTGCCAAGCCTTCCCTCCACAGCCAGCTCTGCCCGGTCCACACCAGGCCCACAGCCAGGCAGGCCTGCTCCAAGCCCCCCTCCCAGCACCTAAACACTACCCACCTTCCGCAGAGGACCCAGCCCCGGCCCTGGGGAGGTGAGCTCACAGCCCTGGGCCTACCTTGAAGGAGGGCGCAGCGGCCAGCCCCTCACAGGCTCAGCCCCACTGCCTCTACCCCCCCCCCCCGCAGCCCAGCAGGGGAGGAGGAACGGCTGTTTCCCCAGCAGACAGGGAGGGGCGCATCTGGCTGGGCTGCGGTAATTGGCAAGAGCCGCCCCAGAGTCACAGCCGCAGCCTCCCGCGAGGCCGCCCGCGGTGCCCTCCTGGGGTGCCAGCCTGAGGGGCGCGACAGAGGCCCCCTCCCCCGCGCCTGCCCCAGGGGGCCGCGGTCTCACATGGCAGGAGTAGAGCACAGGCCGGGCCACCGCGGGCCGGGGACAGCCGTGACCACCGCCTCTGGCCCACCATGCGCTCGGCTTTGAGCCACATGACTTTATTCCCTGGGCCCAGCCGTGGGTGCCTTCTTCAACTGCAAGTGGACAGAGCACCCAAACCCCTCGGCCATGCCTTCCATCACCCCCAGCCTAGGGCTTCCGCGGCCTCCTTCCGCTCACTCCCAGTGCTGGGGTGCTTGTGGCTACAGCACAGGATAACCGCCCCTCTCCAGATCCTAGATGCAGGCTTGCCACAGGCCAGCTCTTGGGGTTCAGCTGGGGATGTCTTGGGGGGGGGCTGTTGCTGAGCCCAGCATGTCCTCCTGCAAACCTGGGCCTCCATATCCATCTTACCATGGGAGGCCAGGCCACAAGGAGGCGGAGCTGGTGGCCACAGTGAGCCCTGAACTGGGGACCCCTGTGGACACATGCCTGGGCATGGCCATCTTGGAAGCCGGGTGCTTTATTTTCATTAGCAGCATGCCGCCCGGGCCCTGTAGATTTTATTTACTTATGGAGGAGCACGGAGCTGAAGAAATTGGCTGACCCGGTGCCAGGCCTCTCTGTGGGGGGCCTCCTCCCAGCATCCTCCATCAGAACAGACACCAAACAAGTGCTGCACTGGAATTCTGGCGAGAGCAGCGTGGCCTGGCCGGGGAGCAGGGCTGCAGACTGCATGGCAGGTCGCCTCTGGGTCATGTGTCACCCCCGGGCGGCGCCTGGGAGATGTTGGGTGAGGAGATGGGTGTCTTGGGCCCTGACAGGCAAATGCCTGTCCCGGCTGAGCCCATCCCTTCTCCCTGTGACATCTCACATCACGTACCAGTCTCTCTGCACCCTCCCCCCGGGGTGAGGGCCCACCCGCCCTCCTCTCCTCGTCTCCCTGTCAGCCTCATCACTCCAGGCAGGAAAAGTTTGGCAGGAGGCACAGTGCTGAGAGCCGTGGCCTTGGCAGTTCTAACAAGCATCAACCCCCAAAAGCAATTCCTCCTCTACTCCAATCCATCAGAAGCCCAGCGGCCGCGGGTGTCCCGGGTGATCGTTCTAATCTCACTGTCGCCAGCGGCCCCGCAGGTCCCCTCCCAGCCTGCTGCCCGATCAGGGGTGGCAGCCTGCAGCCAGCCGCTGGCACCTGCAGTTGGGAGATGGAGAAACCCCACTAATGGGAAATGCCAGCCATGTGCAGCAGTGCTTTCTGAAGGAATGTAGAGAAAAGTGCTGGAGACGATGGGAGAAATGGTCTGTGAAGGGCAGGACAGATATGGGGGCTCCATGCCAATCCCCAGTCTTGGGGGTCCCTTTTGGAACCTGTCAGCCAGCTGGTGAAAATCAGATCAGCAGGCTTTCAGCCAGCTCATCTCCCAGATCACATGAGGGAAAAGGGCCCCGCATTCGAGGGATTCATCCTGAGCAGAGGCCGTCTCCAGGAAGTCCCTCTGGGGCCTCTGGGTGGCCTCTGGGGTCCCTGCGGCTCTCCTCCTCTCAATGAATCCTGAGTGCCCGAGGCTCCTGTCTTAATTTCTGGACCCTCGCTGATCACCCTGGTCACGCTGCGTAGACCCCATAGGCAAAGACAGCTCCAGGTTGGACACTGACCCATGGTGGCCAAGACCTGTAGCTCTCCCCTGCCGGGCACAGGAGGCCTCTGCAGGCTTCCTGCCAGCTCAGGGTTCGCCATCCAGACACATGGCTAGGCCTCGAGGGGCTCAAGCTCAATCAGGATGCCAGGGCCCACAGGTGCTGCCAGAACAGACTTCTGGGCCCGGCTCAGAGGCCAGCTGCAGACCCAAGGCGGTCCTAGGCCCCTCTGTGGGGCACAGCCTTCACTTGGCACCGAAGCATCCCATGGGTGGACCAGTGGCTCCCATGGGGGAGCCACTTGGCTCCCCACACATGAGGTGGACAGAGGAGCCCTCAAGGTGTGCCAATGCCAGGTCAGCAAGTCAGGGCAGAGCCCCTGGCAGCCTGGCCACTGGGAAGGAGACAGAGCGCAGTGGGCGGGCAGGCAGGCGCTGCGTTAGCTGAGGCACCGCGCTGCTACTTGGTAGAAAAGATTGATAAGCAGGGGTGTCCAAAAAAACCACTTGAATTCCATTATGCTGCCCCGTGGAGCCGGTCCACAGCTCCTGCATGGCCCCTCAGACCCCCGAGTGTCCCCCACGGCAGAGCAGGGCCTCTGCAAGGCCTGGGAGTCCCCCAACTCAATGAGAACCCATACTCCACATCCTGCTGCTCCCCACTGCCCTCCTCTTCAGGGCCCACCTCCCTTCTGGCCTCAACAGAGAGGGTGACCAAGATCGGTGGTGGTACCCCGCGTGCCAGGCTGAGCCATACCACATCCTCTAGGTCTGACAGACCGAGGGCCAGACACATAAAGTGGGTGCAGAGCAGACACTCAACTAGCCAGAGACTCGTGACTCCAGACAGCAGCCCTACGGGGGGGGGGGGGGAGGTAACAGGAACAGCACAGTGAAGACAGAACGGGAAGTGCCCACCCATCCTCTACCCCAACCCAAGGGGCCTCGGGTGCATGAGTTCCCAGAGACGTGGCTTTAAGCATCATCCTCCCACCAGGGCCTCTGGAATGACTGTTTTTGTTTTGTGCCCGTCCTAGGGCTTGAACCCATGGCCTGGGTGCTGTCCCTGAGCTTTGACTTTGCTCAAGTCTAGCGCTCTACCACATGAACCACAGCTCCACTTCCAGTTTTTCTAGTAGTTAATTGGAGTCTCATGGACTTTCCTACCCGGGCTGGCTTCAAACCACAATCCTCAGATCTCAGCCTCCTGAGAGGCTGGGATTACAGGTGTGAGCCACCAGTGCCAGCTGGAATCACTATGTATATACACAGGATGGTGGCTTGGAGAGTAGTGGCCACTCCCAGGCAGATTCTCACGAGCGGAGTCCGTTTCCCATCCACCTCATGCCCTGGGGAGCTGAGGCCCAAGTGAGATGGAGAGCCGCTTTGAAAGGGCAGTCACAGGAACCCTGCTCCCACTTTTTAAAAATACGGTGTCGGCTCTTACTGCCGTGAGGACTGCAGGAGGACCTTGCCCCGACCCAGGGGAGCCCCTGGCCTCCAGATGACCTTGTCCCCTTCCCTTGCAGATGGCTGCTCTCCAGAGCCCCTTCTATGGAGACAAAATGAACCTCTTCTCCCTGTGCCAGAAGATCGAGCAATGCGACTACCCGCCCCTCCCAGGCGAGCACTACTCTGAGAAGGTGAGGAATGGAAGGGCCGCTCAGGGCGGCGCTGGGCAGCGGCAGCGGCTAGACCCCGCTGCCTGTTTGGTGCTCAGCTCTGTGTTCCAGTGTGTCTCGCCATCCAGATCCCGAGGCTGGGCTCTACCCGGCGCCAGGACCCAGGAGCTGCAGCCAGAGGCAGGAGGCGGCGACATGAGGTTCCCAGGGAACCCGAGGCCAGCCCCGAGCCGTATGAATCCACTGTGTGCCAATGTCCTCTTCCTCAGATCTACCACTGTGCAGTCAAGGTCACAATCCAGAGCTCAGTGCACACCAGCTTGTCCTGGAGAGAATTACTGCTCTCAGTTTCCTCATCTGAAAGATGGGGTAGAATCCTGTGTCCAGGTTCATTAGAAGATGGGAGTCAATTGTGAGCCCCAGGCCACTACCTCTCAGCTCCACCACCCTCTGAGGCAACTTACGGGCACACGGTAGGAGTCTGAGGCCTTCCCAGGCCGGACCTGCAGGACCCTCGCTCAGAGAGGCATGATCTGCACCCAGATCACCACGCGCCTACTCACGATGCCATCCTGCTTCTCTATTATGGCCCGTCTCTTCAGGAGCCCTCACCGAGGCCACTAGCTGTGCTGTCCCAAGTGCTGGGGGGGGGGGGGGGGCAGGAGGTTGGCGGGGAGTGTGGTTTCAAGGCTTGTGCAGGGGCCTCCTCCAACTTGTGCCTCCAAAACTCCCTTGAACATCTTTGGAGGCCCTGGTGATGCTCTGGCGCTGGCAGGAAAAGGCACTTCCGCTTCGTAAGCAAGCGCAGATGCATTTGTCGTCTTTTGTTTTGTTCACTAACTTTGGGCCTCTGCACTGTAGAGAAGCAAGGGGCTTAGAGCCATGCAGCTTAGCACAAACGACCACCTCTGGGCAGCTGTACAAGTGCCTTTTAAGGCTCAACTGAACACCTTAGAGCCTTACATGACAGTCTCCCATGCCAGTCCAGGCGCCTGGCTGCCGGCAGCCCCAGGACCTGTGCCCAGCTAGGAGCCACAGCACACGTCCTCTGGCTTTTGTTGTTGTATCATTGGGTAAAAAATAAGACACTTTGATTTCTGAGACTTCCCTAATCTGCACATCAGGGCTGTATGGTGACTGCACCCCCAGCTGGTGTTCTTGGGGGTTTTTGTCTGCCACACTCCCTGCCCAAGGGCTGTGTGCCTTGGGAAGGTACTCACTGAAAAGACCTTGGACCTCAGGGGTCTCCAAGTAGTCTGTAGTTACGTGGTCATGGGCTTAGAAGCGTCTCAGGGTTCACAAAGCAGTGGAGTCCCCTTCCCCCTGCCAAGCAGGGCCAGGCAGCGGTGGAGGGAAGGTGTGAAGGCGGACCCTGTGCACAGCAGCCCCCCTTGTGCAAGAAACCAGGCGTGGCCCCTCCACTAACTTGGGGTGCAGCAGACTGGCTACTGAACCACTCGAGTCCCCTTTGTCTGTTGACAGACCCACAGGTCTGCCAGCCCTGCAGCAGCAGGTATTTAAATGAGAAACATTGCAGTGAGCCCAGCCACACGTTAAGACACGGGATTCTTAAGGTCATTATTTTAATTACCACTAAAATAATTGGCACCCAGGCTATCAGAACATTAGGTGATCAGAGGCTCGAGCACCCCTCCCCCACCCCGGGTGGGCAAAGCCTTCAGTGTCTGTATAATTAAAAGTGCTGTCTTTCATGAGCACAGTGAGGCAGCCATGGGGGTGTGCAGCCTGCAGCCTGCTGCATGCTAATGCATCTATTATGATCGCTAAGCCCCATCCTCTGGTCCGGGCTTCTGCATGACAGCAGACACACACGCGCTCAGGGAGCAAACAGATCTGTGCACAGTTCAAAGTTCAAAATTACTTGCAGGTTAACCACTCTTGGGGGTCTCAGGGCATGTCCTTTGGGGCCACACAGGCCTGGGGGGGGGGTCCTCGCTGCCCTCTGGGAGCTGTGACTCTATACCCATCGCTCAGCCTTCTATCATCCTTCTTCACCTCCAATGAGGTGAAGAAAGACACTGATGCAGATAGAGGCGCTCAAAAGGCTCTTATTAAGACTATCGGGGATCAGCCAGGCATGTAGTACTTGTCTATAATCCTAGCTTCACAGGAGGCTATGGTCAGGAGGATCAAAGTTTGAGGTCAGCTTGGCAAAAAGCAAGAGCTCCGTCTTCTCAACCAATAAGGCATGGAAGGTGCATTTCTATTGATGCCGGAGTATATATAGGTCATATTCACAGGCCCGGGGAGCAAAAACCCATACACTATTAAAAATGGAAGAAAAGTGGCTCAGTGGTAGAGTGCTTGCCTCACATGCCTGAGCCCCTGGGTTCGATTCCTCAGCACCACATAAACAGAGAAAGCCATGAGTGGTACCGTGGCTCAAGTGGTAGAGTGCTAGCATTGAGCTGAAGAGCTGAGGGACAGCGCCTAGGCCCAGAGTTCAGGCCCCATGACTGACAGAAAAAAGGGCTGGGGGATGAGGCCTAAGTAGCAGAGCATCTGCCTAGCCAGCACAAGGCTGGGTTCAAGACTCAAGTACCATCCAACTCAATCAAACAATAATAGAAATTACTCTCCCTTGCAGCTTCGAGAACTGGTCAGTATGTGTATCTATCCTGACCCCAACCAGAGACCGGACATCAGTTACGTGCACCAGGTTGCCAAACAGATGCACATCTGGACATCCAGTGCCTGAACATGGCTGCGCCGCGCCTTATCAAAGCCAACGCCACCTCGCCTTCTCCCCAGAGTGGCGCCTAGGAGCCTGCACAGCCCAGAGCAGCCTTCGGCAGACTCCCGGGCAGCTAAGCTGAATGCAGAGCAGCAGAGCCCCAGTCGATCGCAAAGTCTTCCTCTGAACAGTGGAGGAGTCTCTGCTGCGCTGGCAGGGGCGGCGGGCTCGGGGCGCCTTGTGTCTGGACTGTAATGTGAATCTTTCGCCGAGACCTGGCCAGGTCCCCACCGGCAGGAGCCAGTGTGACTGGCATGTGAGCCTTTGAAAATGGTTAGCTGCAAGCAGAGTGTTAGTTCTTAGTATCTTTCCAATCAAGCAATATGCTTAATTTACTCTGTTGTAAAGGGATAAAGTGGAAATTATTTTTTAAGAGATGAGGGATTTTGTTCCTATTTGTCTGCGTTTTATAACCTGATGAGCACCAACAAGGAGACTCTAGTCTCTGGTGGAGCTTCAGGAGGGAAATGGTAGCTGCAAGCCATGGGCCCTGCTTGCAGCCCACAAGTTTGCCCTGTTCCCCTGAACCCCTGCCTCATGCCAGGCAGTGTCACCTTCTGGGAGGCTCCGGCTCACTTTGTGATCAGTGTTAAGCTTAATTCCTTATGGGAAGGAAGCATGGTCTACAAAAAACAATCTAATGGCTTCGCCCTCAGGCTGCTCTTTACAGATTCTGAGTTTGCATCTTCCTGGCGCGACCTTGGGCATGTTCCTTAGCCTCTCTGAACTTAGAAAATGGGACTTGGTAGTTTCTACCTTCAGGGCTGCCCACAGAATTAGAAATAAAACATGGAAGTGAGCTAGCACATTGCAGGTGATCCAAACGCGGCAGCCAGCCACCCATTCAGAAAGCTCGAGTCCACGGACCACGCAAGTCAAGAATTAAAAGTAACTGTATCATGTGCAGGAAAGCCAAAATATGTTCATTTATTTCCTGCTCCCACATAGGAGTAACTGTGAAGACTAATTTATAAATGTGAATTCTGGAGGAAGCAGTTTGAATTCTCATTTTTGCATTCACCCTAATCCTCAGACAGTCCTCCGTGTCCTCTTCCTGGCCCTCCCCCTCCTCCAAGAGCCCTCCCCTGGCCTCTGCGTCTAAAATAAGCTGGGGCTGGGAAGGTGGCTCAGTGCTAGAGTGCTTGCCTCACATGCATGAGGCCCTGGGTTCGATTCCTCAGCACCACATAAACAGAAAAAGCCGCTAGTGGTGCTGTGGCTTAAGTGGTAGAGTGCTCGCCCTGAGCTGAAGAGCGGAGGGACAGCACCCAGGCCCAGAGTTCAGGCCCCACAACTGACCAAAAAAAAAAAGCCGGGGCAGGAGAAGGCACTTGCAGGATGGGAGTGGGCTCAAGGTGGCATCCAAACCTAACTCCCACAGAGCTTGCAAAAGACAAGCGCTCAGGCCCAGCTGTTCCAAGTACGTGTGGAAGGTCTTGAAGTTCTTCAAGGAATTCTGATCATTAGTCAAGGTTCTTTCCTCAGTACTTTCCGTTCCATTATCCCCAGCCCTAGAATGTTCTCCAGAAGCCCCCGTCTCCTGCACAACACAGGTCCTGCACCTGCTCTGCTTCCGGCTCTATTGCACCCCTGTGCAGCCTGCCCTTAGAACCACCTGTCTGATCGCATGGGCTTTGGGGGCCACCGCCTGAGAGGTATGACACGACATGCACTCATTATTATGAAGCAGGACACCAGACATTCGGTCCAAGTGGAGCTGACCAGTCTTCTTGCAGGGGTAACAAGCCAACTGCCTACCTCCCTTTCCTTGGGATTGATGATGGTCAGCTTGGTGATGGATTCTAGGGCCTTCTGCACACAGCACACCCCTGCACTGAGTCACCCCAGCCTGAAGCTTCTTTTTGAGCTTCCTACTTGGCTGCTGAAGCCCAAACTATGCTCTACTCATCACCCTGTTTGGCCAACTCCTGGGCCAGCCCAATCAGAGGCAAGCAGCGTATCAACACTCTTAAGAGCACAAGTGATCCAGAGAGGAAGCCCGGCCTGCCTCTGGACAGCCATGCTGGAGGCACACTCCCCCCACAACCAGGTCTCAAGGAAAGACTGGGTCTAACAGGGAGACAGGGTAGATAGTACGGACTAGATGATAGACAGACAGACGACAGGCCTTTGCAGTCCCCAAGCCTCAGCCATTCACTGTGATCTCCATTTTTTATTGAGCTTCTTTCAGCAAACAGTATAGCCAAATGAGTATCTCGGGGAGCAGAGGGGGAGACTCTTCCAGAATCAACCAGCCAGCTCAGCCCCACTCAGGAAGTGTCCATGGTCTGGACGGTTTCCTCCAGCACCTCAATGTCCAAGGGGGTGACCCTTTCAGTGAGGACCGCGGTGGTCCCCTTCTCACACCTGTACCGGCCAAACCTAGAGAGAGAACAAAAAGTGAGCGAGGGCACGGCAGGCAGCGCAGAGCAGCAGGACCGCAATCCTAGGCCTGGGGGAGGGGGCCGAGTCCAGAAGGTTCTCTTCTCTGCTTCTAGGGCTGCAGGAAGGGGCAGAGCGCACTGCGCTCAGCGGACGGTCTCTCTCTCCCCCCTCCCGGGGCACAGTGAGGACCGCCCCCTCCCAGTGCTCCCTTTAGCCACAGAAGCGAAGACTGAACTGCACGGTCCTGCGGCTGCTTCCTCCTCTACAATCACCAGAAGCAGCCGCAGCCACAGCTGGCTCCCTGTACACCACACATTCAGAGCTCCCCGTGCTGCAGGGGGCAGCGGATAACCAGGCCCACCAGCACAGACCCAACCCTGCCTCCCGAGGGCTCCAGCAGGCCAGCCTTCACTCATCAAGCCCGCCGTCCCTAGCTGGACAGAGCTGCTGTTGACCCGGCTTCGGGGGGTGGGAGGTGCTGTGCTAGGTACACCATTCAGGTGGTTCTGGAATAGTCATCTGCTCAAATGGAAGCTCAGGCTTCAAGAGAGAGCGAGAAGCAGAGAAAGAAGGCACTGAGCTGTGTTCTGTGTTAAGATTCCGGAGCTATGGCGGAAAGCGGGCTCGCCTTCCCTTCTGCAAAACTTTCCACCCCACCGCTGTGGAAAGGGACCGGAGGAGCTGAGCCGTTTCAACTCTGCACCCCTGCAGGCTTGGGAGTTCCCAGCACCCACCAGGCTGGGCAGCCTGTGGCCTCTGAGCTGGAGGCCCCAGTGCCTGCACGGTGCCCCTCATCTTTGGGTGCATGAACACCAGCCCCTGTGCCCGGGGGAGCTGTAGGAAGAGGAATGTGCGGAGCAGGCTAACCGCACGTGGCTCGGGGGTCACCTGCTGCACTGCCCTCGCCCCCTGGGCTCGCCTCACCCGACAGTGCCCCATCCTCACTCAGTGGCCAAGAAGGTGACTATGCGGCTACAGAGTGTGGAGCCCCGCCCGCCCGCCGGCCTGCTCTGCAGTGCTGGGCGGCAGCACAGCCTCACGCACGCGGGCAGGCACTCTACACACCCCCACCCCACCCAGCATTCTCTGGTCTGCCAGCTCCCTTTGCACCCAAGCTCCTTCTGCAAGCAGAATCACTCCTCCTCAAAGGCTCACAGATGAGACTCATCATCCGGGACACTGTTGTTGGACTAGAGCCTCCCAACCCCCTCCTCTGCTCCACGCATAGGGTGCCCGTGCGCATGGAGCCCAGCTAGGCCTGCTCACCCAACACTGCTTCTTCCTGGCCACGGCCAAGGCAGCTGGATGGCCAAAGCAGCTGAACCTCACAGGGGCCTTTCCCTGCGCCCGCCCCACCCCACAGGGCCATCCGAGCTCCACAGCGGCTGCCGCCAATGGCTGGTCCTCTCACAATCCACAGCTGAGGATCCATAGTGGGGCTGAGCAGAGGCCACAGACACCTATGCGCCTCACGCAGCTGAATGCAGCTTAGGAGCCGCATCTGGACTGCTCAGCTCCAGAAAGAACTGTCGTGAGCAAGCCCACATCTGTGTATGCCGGCCACCAGGTCTGTTCAGAAAGCAAACCAGCACCTCAACCACCACTGTAAACCAGCCTGCACCTCCGGACTGGGGGGCTAATGAACAGGCCTTGGGCCCCAACTCAGAGATACACCTCCTTATAGTATGGTGAGCACCAGTAGCTCCAAGGCCAGCAGTAGGGTGCCCAGCCACTGGCTCAGAACCTTGCAGGCATCTTGGATTGGTCTGTGGGCTAGCTGCTCTGAAACCTACACTTCCATGTGCAATTCCATTCACAGTTCAGAGGATACTGACCCTAGAGAAAGGGCAGGGGAGACTGAAACTTTCCCAACCCCAACTCACAGCCCAAGACTCTCCTGGGCCTAATCCACCTCTCCCACCAGCACGTGATGCCATCTACCACTCCTCCACACCCCACAGCAGCCCACGGTCACAGAGGCACAGCCTGGAAGGTCTGTTGTATAATGCTGCTTGGGAAACACTTGCTTTCCACACCACAGGAAAGCTCCAGAAAGCCTGGTGCAGATGCCATGAAGTACCAAGGGTGGCCAGGAGCTACGGGACAGCGGGAGAAGGTCATCTCCATCCACTCACCTGGTCCCTTTCTTGTTGGGCACTGAGTATGGACGGAGGAAGTCCAGCTTGCTCTTGCTGATGACACAGAGATCAATGTTGCTACCAGACCCCAAGTCGTTGAAGATGCCAGCGGCAATGGCCTCACTCACCAGCTTCTTGGCTTCCTCCTCCTGAGAAAGGGAAAGGCAGGCATAATGAAAAACAGCATGTCCTCGCCACGCTCTGGCACACCCACTGTCTTCTCTCCCAGGTGCAGGGCAGCCTCCCGGAGCCCTCCAGTATCTTCAACACACTTTTTTTTTTTAAAGGGGGGGAAAACAACTCAAAGAACATCAATGGCTTGCCTAAAGTTTCTCAGCTGCTAAGTGGGAGGCCTAGGCCTTTCAAACCTTCTGCCTGCAACCTTTCTTCATTGCACCACCGCAAAACTGGGAACTGGGGTATTGTCTCCAGTTCTCATCTAAAGCAGGGCCAGGCAGTGAATTGTTTAGACTGTGTGAGCATAATCAACCTCTGTGGCAACTCTGCCGGAGTAGCACAAACCAGTCACAGACAATGTATACAACTATTAAAGAAAAAAACCCAAGATGTTGGATCCAGGCACCAATGGCTCATACCTGTAATCCTAGCCACTCTGGAGGCTGAGAACTAAAGATCATGGTTCAATTATCTTCAATTAACCACCAAAAAAGCCAGAAGTAGAGCTGTGCCTTAAGTGGTAGTGTGCTAACCTTGAGCAGAAAAGCTCAGGGACAATACTCAGGCTCTGAGTTCAAGCCTCAGAATCAGCACACAAAAAACAGATGTGAGCTAGATTTGGTTCATGGGCTTGTTAGTTTGCAAAACCATGGTCAAAAAGGGCTGAAACTGCACAGAAATCAAAGTACAAAGGGTGAACAAATGCAGCAATGTTACTCACTGGACTCTCTGTTGAAAAGGAACTATACAACTTGCGGGTGGGCTGGCAGGAAAAAAATTTTGAGACAGCAAGGAAAGGGTGACATTGTCTTCACCTGGCATACAGTTGTAACCCAACTTTATAATGACAATAAACAACGTCTGAATGTTTCAAACATGATGTTTGAAAGTTACTACTGTAGGACAAGGGACGGAATAACACAACTACCGCAACAGTAGTTCCGGGAAAATGATGGCCTCTTTCCCAAGGTAATCTATCTGCTGCCCCAATGAGCAGACAAATGTGCTGCTGACTCAAGGCTCTGAGTCACGCTGGCCTCTGCTCCATGTTGAAGCAGCAAGTGTGAACAGGTGGGTTCAGTCCTTTCTTAATTGAGAGGGCACATCACATGCCACGCCGTGTGCTAGAGGATACAGCTACAGAGAGGGATGCACCCCCCACAGGAGCCATGCTCTGGGACTTCTGAGACTAGTACAGACCTCAGACCTGAGTAACTACAGCATGGCCCGGTAAACTAAAGAGTAGCAGAGTAGGGGCTGTGGGAACACCAGCTGGCTCAGCAAAGCTTGGA